GAGAGAGGAGGACACAGAAGGAAACATGCCCCAGGCAGGGAACCCAGCCTGCTGCCTCCACTCCCAAGAGCTTGCCCAGGCACAGGCCCAGCAACCCCGAGCAGCCCTCCCTCCCACCCTCCCCCCAGCCGAAGGTCCAGAGACCAGGCCTCTCTCCAGCCCTGGACAGGGGGGCCACTTATCAGCAGGGAGGGATGCACTCGCATGTCTCAGGGGACAGGGCTGTCCCCAGCAGGACTCTGAAGCATGCTCAGGAGGGAACCACCGGTGACACCCTGGCACAGAGCAGCCCCACACTGTCAGTCCTGCAGGGAAGAGAGGCATCGTGTTGACATGACGTTTCTCTGCTTCTCCTCCTCTCCCTCCCTACTGTGGCCCTGCCGTTCTCTGTCACTCCCCTCTTGGCTTTTCCCCCACCGCCAGGGGTGGTGACAGTGAGGTCAGGAGTCACCATTGACCGGGAGGCCTTCTCACCTCCCATCCTGGAGCTGCTCCTGCTGGCCGAGGACATCGGGCTGCTGAATGGCACTGCCGACCTGCTGGTCACCATCCTGGACGACAATGACAACTGGCCCACGTTTAGCCACAATGCCCTTACCGTGCACCTAGTGGAGAACTGCCCCCCAGGTAAGGAGGAGGACAGGCCCCAGCACGCCCCACCCCACAGCCGGGAGGAGCTGGTTGGTGGTTGCGGGACCTGGAGCCTCACAGATTGGACACAGAATTCACCTCCAGTAGAGAGAAGGCTGGGCCCCCACAGGGTACGGTGGAGAGGCAGAGACCCAGGGCTGCCCCACTTCCCATCCCGGATTTCAGTGTCTGGTCTGTAAGTAGAGATTATTTGAATATGCTCCATATGCTGTGTTCTTGGATGGAAAGACAGACTCTTTTTAAAAGCAAAATAGAATGGATGTGATTCCCAACAAACTAAAAATACAACGGAGTTGAATGCTCAAGTTCATCTAGTAGCACAGGGAGAATGTCAACATCACTGTAATCAAGGTTTACTTTACCAGACACTAAAGTATCTCAGAACAATGGCCATCGAGTTGACTGCAGGTCGTGATGGCCCAGTATGTAGCTGAGTGCCACGTCTCCACAGGTTTTCAGTGGCTGGTTTGGAAGTAGATGTCTGAGTGGGCTCAAACCACCAGCACTTGGGTAGCAGCCAAATGTAAACCCCTGTGTACCATCTAGGAATACAATAAAACCAGAACACAAAGCCACAAGACTGAAAACCAGGTCATCTAAGTAAGTCTGTGGGGGAGGCAGCCCAAGAACAGACACTGGCGATTCAGAGAATGTAGCATTGCGGGGTGGAACCCACGGAAGAAACGCATTGTGCA